CATACTAGATTTAATAGCACACATGTCTATCACGTTTGTTTTATACATCTGCTTTGCTTTTCGACGAACAAAGAGTTTTATATGAATTGACTTCCTATTTTATCTTGTCTTCTGTTTGAAGTTAATTAAAACCAGGTTGACTTGGCTTAGAATTTCGTTTAATTATATGTTGGTTATTTGATTTGCGGTATTCATGTTGGACCAAGGGATGTTATTTTAGAATTGATTACTTTACAGTAGGTATAAATATTTGAAGTGAAGATATTTATTGTTGACTCAATTTGAAGAGCACCTCATATCAATACTACGGGTTATTGATAAAAAGGTTAACCAAAACAATAGAGATTCTATAGTTATACAATGTTCATCCAAATTATAGGTATGGCACACGTCCATCATTGTAGTTAGAGTCTACTTGCAAAGAAGATTGAAACTATTTCTATCGTAGTTCAACTTTGATACAAGTAAAATAAATTTGTTTTCAATTATATCACTTCTGAGATGTAGAAAGGTACAATATAGATCATTTCACGTCGTATCTAAAATGTGCAAACAAAGAACAATGATCAAAGAGTGTAAACTATTACGGAAATTTCACTATCGTCAATCAGTTGATCAATCAAATAATCAATTAAAATATACTTAATTATTTAAAGAAAATATCTCCCTCTTTTCACGTATGTCAAAAGACATACATTCACAAATTGGGGCGAAAGTCTCTGCAACGCTTGGTTGCAGAAAGAACTAATGCACGAAGTCATCAACAGAAGCCAGCCCCACTTTATAGTTTCGTTCAGGTCATCACTGAAGTCACCACGAGGAAGTTTTAGCTTCTGCGTGAAATAAAATATAGACGATAATTCAGCGAATGGATTTGATAAAATCAATGGTTCATTAGTTGTCATCAGTACGATATAGTCAAGCGCAAGGGTAGGCGACACTTGATAGATACATAGATAGATAGATAATTTATTGGTGTTTTATAGATTAATCAGTATTTACACAAGTCAATTCACCTGAGTTATGTCGACAAGCACATTAAAAAACAAAGCAGTCAAATTTATTATTGGAAATTATAAAACAATGACAAACGTATGGTTGAAGAACTTATTTCACAGTGTAGAAATTCTTCAGTGCTAAAGAAGGCGTTTTTTATTAAAAAATATTTTATCTTTGTTTTGAATATATTATTAGGTAGATATCTTTTGTTTTGTGGTAATTTATTGTAAAATTTCACAGATCAAAAATTTGGTACATTTTGACATCTTTTTAAGCGGCAGTAGTTTGTACTCAACTCATTTTTATGCCCAGTATTGTGGTCGTGCACATTTTCAAAACTTTCATAGATGGATTATTTTTTATGTATATTAAATTTTCCGTAATATAGAGAGAAGGAAAGGTTAATATTTTTAATGTAACGAATTAATTTCGACATTCATCTCTTCAGTCGGTAAGAATAATGAATTCATACAAGAGTTGATTTTGAAACTTGTCTGGGGAGGTTTCTTAATAAAAATAATTTTCTCTAAAGTTTTTTTGATCATTCATACATGTGATGATCCCATTTTAACTCACTGTCAATATGAATTCCCAGAAATTGGTTGCAGAGACAACACTTCGGTAATATCTCTAACCCAAGGTGACCTGACCAAAACCACAATGTGCGGCTGGCTTCTGTTGATGACTCCGTACATTTGAGCTGTTTTCTGCAAGCCAGTGTTGCCTAACCTTGCACTTAGTTATACCGTACTGATGACAGTTAATGAGCTAGAAACCCGTGTCTGCGGTTTCCATATTTTTTGAGTGCTTCGTCCATGATTTTTTCTGCATTTGATTGTATCAAACCAACTCGTTGAATTATCATCTACATTGAATACTGGACCCGGATGTCACGCAGGTAGCTAAAGGTGCCCCGTGGTGACTTTAGTGATATATCTAACATGAGATGACCTGACTGAAACCACAAACTGCGGCTGGTTTCTGTTGATGACTCCTTGCATTAGTGTTGTTTCTGCAACTAAGTGTTGTCTAACCTTGCACTTGGCTATACCGTACTGATGACAGCTAATGAATTAGAAAGACGTTTCTGCGGTTTGCATATTTTGAGTGTTTACCTTGTTTTAATTATATCAAATTTACTCCCTAAATTATCAGGTTAATGCAGTCAAGCTGCTGAAAAATAATTCCATGAAAATCACCGGTAGACAGCCGTTTCAGCATATTGAGCATCGTCGGTACCGAATAGGCGGTCCTCAATTGAAGACAAAATGTGAATAACCAAGAAAATTACTTAATAAAAGGTGGGACCACCTATTGGTGTGACATCCAAGTCAACTTGCCAATAGGTGGTTCCACTTATCTCTCCCTTGCAATTGCAATTATTTTTATCAAGTACTTTTCTTGGTTATTGACGTTTTGTCTTCAATCGAGAACCTCCTGCCCGGTACTGACGATGCCCAATAGGTTGGCTGTTTACCGGTGGCTCTTAAATTGAAATCAATATGGGAGTGATCAGAATAGTACTTATCTATTTATCTATAAGGACTTTGCTGACTAGTTAAAACCTTTAAAAACTTGGGAAATATCTTTGGGTGATCAGCAGAACGGAAGTATACTTTTATAACACAAGTTATTCCAATATTTCNTTCAATGAATGCGCTACTTCAAGATGAATTGCCCTCGCTGGTAGGCAGGTGAATATCACACCCCAGCGTTTCTCCTGTCTTCTACCAATTTTGATGGAGAGCAGGCCGAAATAATCCATGCCAATATTCTCAAATGGTCTTAGTCCTCTCGTCAGTCTTACTTCAGGAAGTTGACCCATTAATGACGATAGTGGTTCACTTTTATTTATTTTTCATTCGAGACATCTCTCAAAATCGATTTCACTGCGGATCTTCTGTTAATAACCCAAAATTTCTGCTGGAGTTCATTCAGTACTCCTGTGTGATTGATCTTTTCAGGAGAATGTTGAATCAGCAAACTAGTGTAGCGTGAAGAAATAATGTGTTATACACAATCACAAAAATGTTTGTTTTATGATATTTGGCACCGAAGACTAGGACATTTGAGTGCTGGTCGTATGAAGTTACTACAAGATGGATTTGCCGAAGGTCTCTGTTTTAATAAATGACACAGTGAAATATTGTGTGACAGTTGTATTCAAGGAAAACAAACCAGAAAACCATTTCCGAAGGGTAAGGCCAGTAGAAAATTGGAACTCATCCATTCGGATATTTGCGGACCGATGCCAGAAAAATCAATTGGGAAAAAATTATACTTTCTCACATTTACTGATGATTTTAACATTCCTTATGTTGGAATTTTATTATATGCTGCTCAATCTACTAGACCTGATATAGCATTTGCAGTGGGGGCTCT